CTGTCGCGCTCCGCAATCAACGTTGTCTGAGACTGTTAACTTTTAATAAAATTTTGCTAGCAGTCTTGTTTTCGTTTTATTTTCTCTTTTTGCAAAGTAAATTAATATCTATATGCGTTTGTTTAAGTAAATTAGTTTTTTATTAATAGGTTATATTACTATATCCATACATAAACACATACCTCATAAGTACTTTAATTATCATATCACATCAGATTAAACTAATTTCAAACATTAAATCTGAGCTAATACCATATGCTGAGTGTTAATTAACTCGTATTTTAGTTGTTTGCATTTGTTGTAATGTAAAGCTGGAATGTTTTTTGGCAAACATTGGTTTTTTGAGAGGAAACTAAAGAAATGATTGGCAAATATCATTCATAGGTGCGTATCCGTATGTATTATTTATATTATTGTACAAATTATATCTACTTATAAAACTAAATGAGACTTAGCTGTTAAACAAAAAAGACAGTGACAACCCTGCAACTGTAGGCATTTAAGGCTCGCTCAGCGCGGGAGTTATCCTACTCCTACTGTTATTTTTTTACTATGGTAGGATCTCACACTAGGACGGGAGGACGAGGAAGTCGATAGATGCAGATAGCTCTGTTTAACGTGCATTACTTGGTGGAGGTTCAGTAGTAGAATTATAAGGGTCTGGAATGATGATGATGACGATTTTTAAGTCATGTGAAATCCGCTGTTACGCTTTGGCAACATGGCGTACTCATGCCCTAAAACCCTTTTAGAAATTAAAGAGGGGCCTCACGGGACGCATGCAGGGACTTTCTTTACTTTTACTCATTATCCGCATATAGGGAGAGCCGTGTGAGTCGTGCCTGCTCCAGGATGTTTTATTATGAACCCAAAATTAGAATTATTTATAAATATTTAAATTTGGTTCTATTAATTAATAATGCTATAATAAAAAGAAACACGTTTCACAAAAAATGCTTATCTTTAAATTTTGCAATTACGCAAAGGCGGCGCCCGCCCCTTAAATATGAGGTGTAATATTTGACAGATTCCATAGCCGAGAAGTTTGTTCGAATAATGTAAAAGTGTTGTTTCTTTCTGTTCTATTAGTTAAATATAATATAAAACAAATAAACCAAACCACAGATATCCATAAAAGTAGAATAATTTAAAAAAAAAACTTAAAAATGTTCAAATAGATATTAAAGAGCAAACCACAGAGGCATTATTTTATGTATTAATATAAAATCTAGAAACTGATAAACTTTTATTTAAAACTATTTTTTTAAGTTAAATGACATTGTGTAAAAATAATCACCTCAGTATCAACTAGCGGAAGAATATTAGTCGTCATTGCTTTATTGCGTAAATTGAATTTTGGCTGCGTACTAACGGAAAATAATCCTAATTAAACGCTTTCAGCATTCGATTATATAGACAAGTATCTAGGATTGCTTGAACTATTACATTACGTACATTAAATATAAGTTACAGTAACTGAATAGTTCTATACATTGCTTTAAGCGTATATAAATTAAATGTCCTCGGTTTATCTAAAGTCGTGGCGAATTGAAGGTAATCTTACGGCCGAACGGGCATTATCGTGAGCTGTGCATGCTCGCCGATCCGTTCACGCAGAAAACTATTTGTCCAGTGCTCCCAAAGACTACAATATTATACAGGGAAAGTGCTCCATATGTTAAATGTCGCTTCACACGTGTGCTCTGTTATGTAACTGCTATGTGCTGTGGCGAGCGTAGCTGCTTGCTGCGAACCGCGTCCTGGTTCAAATCATAGCAGATGAAGCAAATTTGCGTTTCTCCCTGGGTTTGTTTTCGTCAGCGTCTGCTATTCCTATCCTTTTTCCACTTTAATTTTTAGAATAAGGTTGATAAACGAGCACACAGTCCACTTAATGGTAAGTAGATGCTGTGGCCCATAGACATCTTTATTAATCCTCGTTTAAGAACTAAAATGTAGATGCGTTGTCAACTCTGAGGACTAATATGGATTGCCGCGTTTCCAGTAAAAAGGGTCTCCGGTTCTCTACTGGAGGTTATATTATAATTACTGTGAGTGTGTGGTCCTTGATTATATATATTTATATATACAATAATTGCTCGTTTAAAGGTATAGGAATAGGATAAAGTTATAGGATAGGGAAGCCGTGTACTGGATGATTTTTACCGTCTGGAAAAAAATTGGGTGTAACAGGTGAACGGAATAGAAGCCTATGGCAGTGATATTATACCATTTTTTGCTTTTACATTAACATATTATGAAATTGAACTATGGATAAATACCACTTGTTTGAAATAAACTTTCTGTAATAAAAAAATAAAAACAAAAATTTTGAACTAAATTTAACAATCATTTAAAAAATATCGAAACTAAAACCACGTTCTCTCAGAACACCAGCATAAAATAGTAGCTTAATACTGCTATGTTTCGTATAAGTCTAGAGGACCGGAGGACCCGTTTTACTGGAAATGAGACATTTTATTTTAATCCTTAGGGATGACAACACAATATGCATTTTGTTTCTTAATCAAGGACTAATGCAGATATCTATGCGCCACAGCATCCACTTACCATCAGGTGGACTGTGTGCTCGTTTGTCATCCATATTCTATAAAAATGGAGAAACTAGAAGCAGAAGAATAAGAAAATAATAAAATTATAATTTTCTTCTGGTTCTTTAATCGGTACATAATGCTTCATAAAGAAGAAATATATTATTTTCTTCTTTATGAAACATTACCGATTTAACGTTTTATATGTACCTGTTTAGTTACTCTACCTATTTGGTTACTCTTTTCATTTTCCACCAATATATTTACGACTAGGTAAGTCCAACTTCGACCGAGAGGTCAATCGACGGATTCAACTCGGCTGGGCAGCGTTCGGAAAATTACGATACATCTTCTCGTCAGGTATACCTCAATCTCTGAAAACTAAAGTGTACAACCAGTGCGTGTTGCCAGTGATGACTTACGGATCTGAGACGTGGTCCTTCATTGCTGGCCGTATGAGGACGCTCAAGGTCGCTCAGCGAGCTATGGAGAGGGCTATGCTCGGAGTTTCTCTGCGTGATAGACTCAGAAATGAGGATATCCGCAGTAAAACCAGAGTGACCGATATAGCCCAACGGATTAATAAGCTGAAGTGGCAATGGGCCGGCCATATAGCTCGAAGAACCGGTAACCGATGGGGAAGAAAGGTTCTCGAGTGGCAGCCTCGTACAGGTAGGCGTAGTGTAGGGCGACCCCTATTAAATGGAGTGACGACCTGGTAATACATGCAGGAAGTCGATGGATGCAGGTGGCTCAGGACCGTGCTTTGTGGCATTGCTTGGGGGAGGCCTATGTTCAGCAGTGGACTTGTGAAGGGATGTAATGATGATGATGATGATATTTACTACTTTTAGCAAAGTGTGTTTATTTGATTTTTTACACTAAGGCTATTCTAAAACTCAGCTCAGATTAGACTGGTTTCCAACAAATCGTGGTAAGCAAAGTTGAATGTGTTAGGAAAATAATTTAACCCCTTCCCTGTTCCATAAATCATATATGAACATTTCTATATTTAAACTACTGTATCTGTTTTGCGGACAGGGAACCTGTTAAGTTAAATAGACGTTTCTTCCCACAAGATCTCCAGCAGCAAGTTGGGACTTAAAGTCTGTTTTGAACCATTCAAAAACAGTTGTTAGTTAGCTTATTTAGAGGTCAGTTTTAGGTTAGATAGTAAGTGGATGTCGTGAACCATAGATCGTCGTAATCAATGGTTCATTTATTGATGAAGAATTAAAACGCAGATTCATTATCAACCCTGAGAACTAAGATGGAATGATTCGTTTCCAATAAAAAGGGTCTCTACACTCGTCATACAAAACACAGCATTAAACTGCTATTAAATTGCCGACCCATACAAACTACAACCATACTATAGCTGCAATGTGGCTCTACCACGTATTTGGCTCTACCGTGTATAGAAACCTTAGAGTATTACTCTAAGATAGAAACTTTTTTAACTCATCTTGCAAATAGCTTTTCCAAATGTTTTCTCTGTCGTATTTTTGTAGGTCAGTAGTACGAGTAGCTTGTAGCCTCAGGGATGTTATATATGACATATTTTTTTATATTTGCGGATATTTTATAGATATTGTAAAATAGTAAATTATACTTTATAAATTATATTTTGTAAATTATACCATTTTTGTTCTTTCATTTTAATGATAAATTATTTGCGCAATGTAGTATTTTTGTACTCCATTACTGTTTGCCGATAATCTAATATTAGTTTAAGAAAATAGAGAAGATAAATCTAATTGTGACTCTTTACAGCATGATATTCATGAAGCTTTACGTTGGAGCATAGTTAATAAACTTTTTTAACGTCTCAAATGCTCAGTGCTATCCTTTAGCCGATCACGCGCCCCAATTCATCACCAATACGTGATGGATGGGAAACTGCTTAATAATTTAAAAATGTTTATGATGAAGGAGGAAAGAGGTATGTCAATGTAATGGTTATTCCTCTGGGTGACAGGCGTGAGTGTTTATGTTATGTTATGTTATGTTTTAAAGTGTAATTAATAATAAATATAGTGGCGACGTAAGAGAATCGCCTACCTCATATCATCCCGTGAGTGTTTTCAAAGGCGACTGGAGGAAATGAAGAAAGAAGATGGGAAATAGCATCTTCGTCATAAAACAACTTAACATGATAAAAAGTGTGCTAGTGAACTGGATTGCAAATTGTTGTAACTTTGGCAAACTTCCCCTATGGGGCAACCTATGGGGCAACTTATGGGGCAGGCTTATGTAAAGCAGCAGACTTTTGTTAAGCTGTTACGAATGAATGAATATAAATATTACAAATTAATTTTCAACTTGTAACCATTTGATATTTAGTTCATATGACATCGGGCAATCGTCGTGCATGTGCTTCGTCGCGATATCCTTTCGCCTTTTCTCTCGACTTGAAAGAAATGTGTGTAAACGACCGTGGCATACACAATGTGTATATTTAGTGAAACTGTAAAGATGGAACTTTATGTTGTTGCAATTTTTTATACATCTTATTTCAAGTATACCAGAGACGATGTTACTGCAACATGAGAAATAACAATAAGATCTTTTGTAACTATAGGGGTCTCACGACCGGCGCTCCACAGCGACCATGCTTCGCGTCATCAGTTACTCACAGGACCGCGTGGTTAGAGCGCGTGTTTTAACTAACTGGTTATCATACAGTAATGAACTATTAATATTTAAGCCATATAATAATCAGACCTGGGTGCTACAATTCGTGTCTGTGCTAACTTGGTCGTTTCGACAATGTGTGGACATAAATTCTTATTACGCTAGGATATCGATTACTAAACGTAAGTAAATCGATTTTTCTTCCCGCTTTTAGTTTTAACGATTGAATTTCTTGACATTACCAGCAGCGAACGCAACTGAATTGTATGTTCCAATTCACTTTAAAATAAATTAAGTTTTATTAATAAGAGTTAAGTTTTGTGAGAAGGCACGATTCGTGTGTGATTCCGTTATGAACTTGTTTGACTACTACATGCGTTTTCATTTGCTCATCATAATGGTTCTTGTAGCAACAGAAGCCTAATGGTTTATACTAGAAACTTTAAAGTCGCGGGTTCGAATCCACCATTCGAGTACTATCATGAATCACTATTAATAAAGCATTTAGAGCTCAAGCTTGGTTTGAGGAGAGCACTACTGATATTTTCTTAAAAATGGTAAAGATACTAATTTCCGCATTGATAAATAAGCACTATTGACAGTTTATCTCAATATTCAATATTCTTGAGTATTTGTACATTCTGCGATGTATTCATTACATTAGTAAAATAATTTTTAATGCAATTATATGTTCGTCCTTACATAATGCTATCCTCCGTCTATAGATCATCCCAGTAACTCTAACTGGTGCATCAGTTTAATTATATATATGCTAAGTAATTACCACCAACATTTTAGAATTAACACCCGTTTTTCCTACAGAATATATCAAAACAACAGGAAAATATTATTAAACTGTATTTTGACAATCCTTATTGATTAAAACGAATACAATATTAAAACTGTCCTAAATCTTTTGTTTTCTTTTCATGATTTTTTCCGTTATCGTCGTAATCATCTCTCTAGGTTTGAAACGAATTGAAATAGATGATGGTCTATATCGTAGATCCGCTTCTCTCTTCCACCAGCATCAATGTATTGACTTGCGGCCTGCCAAGGTTTCGTCTGGTTGGGAACTGTTATTTTTTGGAGGATAGGATGACATTGTGCGGTTTTTTTTATATATTATGAGCGATGTTATTGTGCGGTTATTTAGATTTGAGATAAATATAGGAGACATTTCGGAAGTTTTATCAATTTTACATCAATTAAATTTATAAGTTTTTCTAATAAAATATACTCTTGGCCTTGCTCTCAAATTTTTTATATAGAATTGGGTGATAAACGAGCACACAGTCCACCTGATAGTAAGTGGATGCTGTGGCCCATAGACATCCACATTTATCCTTAATTAAGGATCAAAATGCAATTAAGTTGTCACTTGTCACCCGTGATTACTAAGATGTAATGCCTTGATTCCAGTAAAAAGGGTCTCCGGTTCTCTACACTCACCATACGAAACACAGCAGAATTGCGCTGGTATTCTGAAAGCGTCACCTGCTCTAGTCGAGCAGACCCATTCGTGCTACAACTATAATATAGTTGTAGCGTGGCTTTACCACGTAAAAAAACGTTTCTAAAGATTCATTACAATCACAGAGAACTTTTTTATATATAGGAAATTACAATCGAATTTCATTACAATTGGTTTAGTCATGCCGTCGATTAGCCCGGGCGGACACAGACAGAGAAAATTAAAAAAAAATGGTTATTAATGCCATTACAATGTATGCAAATAACTCCCTCAGCTCTTATATTGATATAAGGCAGTTATTTCGATATAACAGACAGATACTTCAATTTTATTTATATGTATTGATTAACAATTTTGACATTTGGGAAAATGCTACCCAAGAACCCAAGATAATTTTTTATTTCGAACGTACGGTGGAAAACTTTATAGGTAAGTAGTATACAAACGTTTTATATATATATATATATATATATATATATATATATATATATATTATCAAATCAATAATCGTTAAGACATTAATTTAAATACAGGACATAAAAAAAAATTAAAAAAATATTCATCAAAAACTAGTTCATTTGTATTTGTAACACAAAACGGAATATAGGGTGTTGATCTTTTCTTCTAATTTGTAAGTCATGTATGGCGGCTTTTTTAATTTAAGTAATATCTATTTCTATTATTCTATTTTCAAAATGTTACAATTTTATAAAAGATATTTGTATAATAGGTGATTTGAATAAACAGAGTATGCGTTACGTTAGTCCCAATATTATTATTTATTACTAAACATTAGAAAGTACAGGTTTACAATATAATAACGAACGAAAGACGTTAAGACTGAGATTATAACATCTTAGAGTCAGGAGCGCATTAATCACTCTACCAACAGGTAATTGTATGTAGTAAAATCTATTTAATAACATTTCAAATGGTAATTTACAATAAAAATTACAAGTATTTGTGTAGACTGTAGAACAAGATTGTCAATCAAACAAAACCCCAACCAAAAGCTTACCACAACTTATCCGTAACTAGTTTGTTTACAAACCAAACTCTTATAATAAATAATTAATTATATAAAAGTATAAAAAATTCAACGAACTTTAAAATTACATACTCTAAAACATAAAACTTCAAATAATTATATAATGTAGACTACATATAGAAAAATTAACCTCCATTAATTTGTTATTAAATAATTAATAAATAAAAGTCATTTGAGACTAAATGTACAAATATATTGAAATATGAATGAAAACAAGAAGTAAACGGTCGAGTAATAAAAGTGCTAAAAGTTATTAAAACAAATTTTTGATAACTTTTAGTAGTTTTTAGTTATAAACAATAGAAAGTAAAAATAATTAACTGTATAAATTAAAAATACCTGAAACCTATTTGCTAATTAGCTACATTAAAAACAAAAAATTTCTCGTTAACGAACTTATGTTGCGTCAAGTTTGATGTAATTTGTTTGATGCTTGAAAAAAAAATAGATTAGGTACTATTTTGTTGTATATTGCGACGTGAATAATGTAATACTTATAGAAGTATATACCATAGAGTACACTTGCATGTTACTTGTTCGCAACTTGTTTTATTTCGTCCAAGTTCGTCGTCCGTTGTTTACCAAGCGTTACTATTTTAAAGAAGTGACTAACACATTTACAAAGGAAATGTTGCATTACAACTCTTTTTTTTTCTATAAAATTCCGCTGATGAACAATCCGATCAGTTTTCACGTCCGTTGCATAAGATTCGCAGACGTGCAATGGATAAATCAAGTACCTATGCCTTGTGCGGAATAGTGTCATTTGACACTACTTTCTTTTCTGCGTGGAGAATAAAAGATTTATTTGCGAACTATCGAACTCAAAGTGAATAAATTAGCAAGCGATATGATTTCTAGAAAATGTTTAATAAAATATATTCAAAAATTATGTACAGAAGGAAAATTATGTAAAAAATTATTTATAAGTTTATAACATTAGTAAGTGTTACCTAAAACATTGTAAATATTTGTGTAAGTTATGAAATTTTATAGATATGTAATATGTATATATTTATTCAGTTTATAAAAGGCTTTAAAAGAAAGAAAGACGTGAACATAATATCCCCCAAATCGGGAGATACAAATGCGTTATACAACGAAGGATACAGGTGCGTTGTCATCTCCAACTTCAGTATGTCCGGACCGAATTGGACCTGAGGTAAAAAAGGGAGATCTTAATAATAATAGTTATATTATAATTTTATTAAAATGAAATAGCAGCAGCATGACTCTACCACGTATGTTATAATTTCGTACGGGGTAGAGCCATGTTGCAGTTATATTAGTAGTGTATTTGTAGCATGAATGGGTCTGCTCGACCGGGAAACCACACTCTCACAGCCAGCGTCAAATGCTAGCTTAATGCTGCTGTGTTTCGTATGGTGAGTGTAGAGGACCGGAGATCCTTTTTACTGGAAACGAGCATTCCATCTCGTATCGATTCGTAATCGAGTATAGATGTAGATGTCTATGGGCCACAGCAACCACTTACCATCAGGTGGACTGTGTGCTCGTTTATCACCCTATCCTATAAAAAATGTAAACAAATAAAGGAGCTAGCACGCAGTATTAGCGACGAATTTTTCACTGTTCACTGTTCCAGCAGTGTGTCAAAAGCCTTTTCGAAGTCCGTGTATATAGAATCAGACTGAGGACTAAAATGGAATGCCTCAGGGCCTGTTGTTACACTGGCTCTCACTTCAGGCCTGAACGCAATTTTGCAACCACTAGGTAAGGGTTGCAAAAATAGATAAGGGGGTGTATTTACCCAGACGGACCTAGATAGAAAAGGAGTTTCAATAACTGTACTTAAATATAATAATTAAACTAGTAATAAAACAAATTAATATATTCAAACCGGTAACATTTATTACTATGCGGATCACAGCACTGCACTGGTGATGCTTAATACACCGGTCGTGTTAATATTTCTCGAGAAAAAGTTGCCGAATACCGAACAAACATGTTTCCGAAGTCGAGTCTTTACTAAACAAAGTCTCGAATTGGGGACGACTAAATCTAGTCTAGAGTAGTTTAATCCTCAGAAGACACAAGTTTGCGCGTTTAGCGCTTTAAAGAACCCCTTCGTCGTATCTCCTCAGTTTCAAGGTACTTCCTTTGTTGCCTCAGCCTGTATCAGAATCCTCGGTGTCAACATATGGAGTGACGTCTAATTTCGTGGTCACGTTGCCAAATTGACCTCTAAAAAGCTTGGTCAGCAGAGCGGGACAGTAGTTCATGCCGGCACACCGCCTGCAACTTTAGAAGGGGCAGATTCGGCCGCACATGAAATACTGTTCCCATATCTGGTCTTTAGGTCCCCAGTACCAGCACCAGCCATTTGACCGCATCCAGCGCAGAAACGCCCGAGTCCTTTCCGATCAGCTCGATTCACGGGCGCTGCGAAGAGATTCTTTCGCATCTACCACAGGGAGTGCTCTGAGGAATTGTTCGGATTAATCCCAGCCGCGAAATGTCATGAACGCACATCTGAATTCTTGGCGGTCCACCACTGTGTGTTTCAATAGAAGTTTTCTTCCGCGTACAACCTCTATGTGGAATAGGTTACCGGCGCTTTTTCCGGACCGATACGACTTAGAGACCTTCAAGAAAATAGCTTTCTCCTTTCTAAAAGGCCGGCAATCATAGAGAATATA